GGGGAAGCTTCCTTCCGGGTGCTGGGACCGGGGTGATTTCATTCTTTATTGTACATCCAGGAACACAGTAATATAAAATCTATTTTCCCCGGCTTTGGTGAACACATGGACAGTGCTCTTCAAGTGTAGAAGTATAGTAGTTTTATTTTAAAAGTTCAATTATAATGTGAAGCCATCTTATGCACTGCAATTTCTGGCGGAAACCACCCATTTAAAAACTGATCTAACAGTACTGATTATAAATTAGTTACTCATTTCCCCTAGGTATCACTCATCTGTTCACCCGCCACTGAACTCTCCTCCCAGGCTTGGAGATTTACAGGGCTGAGCAGTGTTCTCTAAGTCATCAGTACACTGTCCTATTAGCAGATGTGGACATGTGCGCATGTGCGCGTGCACACACACACACACACACACACACGTGTGCCCACATACACACACGAATGCATCTGAACGCCAAATGTACACAAATCAGGCACAAATACTCATTTACACACACACATACATATAAGGCACGTTCTTACACACTCACACACTGTGGATGTGTGTTCTCTCTCCTCAGCCTGGAACAAGGTTTCAAAAACTGCAGCACTTCATCACTAGGCAAAGGAGGACATGGCTCAGGGAATCTGGGAAACGTCCCATAGGTATGCTCCATGTGCATCGTTCAAGTACTTCTCACATTCTTATTCTGCAACCTTTTCCATCAGCTCAGACAAATATTGTTCAAAGAAGTAAAGGTAAGATGGAAGCAAACCAAAGTCTTACAGGAAATGAAGATGAATTTGAAAAAGGAGAGAATGTTTATGTGTGCAGATATGGACAAGTCACAGTAGGTAACATCTGGCCATGCATAAGGTGCCAAATTGGACTCCAGTGCAATCACCCCAATTAATCACTTACAAATGTCCTTTCTTTTTGGTCCACAAAGATCTGATAAAGATTTCATTGAAATTAATTCAAATTAAAGAAAGGAACAGTCTGGAATTAGAATTTCATGTAATTATGGATTATATGAAACCACTCATCTTTTAAACTATGCCTTACTTACATTAGTGCTGTTCAATACCTTGCATGCAGATAACCAATAACTGGGACCCTGACCTCTGTCACTCTCCTACTCTGAGAGTTCGGGTCTGTGCTAGGAAGGAAACTGAGGCCTGAGTGCCTCACAGGTCGGCTGGGCTCGGCTTCTCTGTCTAGGGTACTAGGATTACAGGATGTTGTTGCTTGATGATGACAGCAGTGGCAGTGGTAGCAGTGGCAATAGCTGACAGTCTACAGCATGGCTCCACATGCCAGGTGCTCTTTTAAGCACCGAATATAGTAATTTTTCACTCATCGTAGCAGCCCCAGGAGACAGGAATGTCAGTATCCTCATGTTATGGATGAGGAAACTGAGGCAACAGGGCAGTGAAGTAACTTGCTTAAACTAGTGAGTACTGGAATGACGATCCAAATCAGTCCAGGTTAGAAATGTGCTCTTCAACACTGAACTACACCGCCTATTATACCACAGCCCTTGATAGCATGGGACTGGATTCACTCCTTCTCAAAGGAGCTACATTACGCTAAGTCCTCAAAATAACTTATATCTCAACAAAATAACTTTTATATCTCAGTTTCTTAAATTAAGTGAAAGTTTTCTAAGTCAAACAATCAAAAAACACTGTGACTGTTAGAAGACTGCAATTGCTATTAGAACTCTCCATAGATGGTCAAAAGGATGCTGTAAGACCAGGAACAAATAAAAACCAAAGTCTCCATGCTAGAAATCTGAAAGGAAAATCAGGGTCAAACTCCTTCTGATGGCTGTCAGAACATTTTCCCCAATGGTCAGATAACGAGGCAGGTTTTCCTGAGCTGGCATGATACATGCTATTCTAGAAACAAAATCAGTTTTCAAAACGATCTTCAGCCTACAAATTCCCACTTCTCGCCTCTTCATTTTCTCAGAATTGTTTTCATGAGGTTTTTCTTCTGTAGATTTATTTTCCTATATGCACACAAATGCCCTAATCAGATTTTAATGTTATCAGGTGGTAACCCAGTTAGCAGCCTGAACAATTTAGCATAATTCAGTAACACAAGGTGAACAGGAAGCGGGTGCTTCTCTGGAGTGATTCAGCAGTAGCCTCTGCAAAGTGCACTCAGCAACTCACCTTAGGCTTAAATGCAATGACTTTCAAAACCATTTCAACAGTGAACACCCCAGTGAAGACCATGTTCAGAATGTCCATGGCGTCATTGAACATCTTGGACTGCTCGTAGTGCTACGGGGGAAGACAAGAGACACGGTTCTCAGAGACTCGGCCACAATCTCACACCCTCACAAATGGTGGCTCCCTAATGGGCACCCTCCATGGTCTGGCAGCACCATCTCCCAGTGGTCTGACTGGCACTGCATCCCACAGTGAACTCCCACAAAGCACAGGGTGTCTGTGACAAGATGAGGATGACTGAATGGCGGAGGGGAAAACACATCTAGTTTCTCAGCACAGGCTAAGGGGGAATTCACCCTTTCTTCTGGCAGAGCTTATAGTCAGGCCCTCAACTACGGCTCAATACACATACCACCAAAGCGTCCATGAATAAAGGTGGAATTTGGTTAGGCATACATTTTATGCCATTTAGGAGTACGTTTAATAAAAGGCACTATTACCTTTACTTTGCATTTTTCCATACATCAAAACAGGGTTCTTTTCACTCATAAAGAATTTTTAAATTAAGAAAAGGGCCAGACACCTTATCCTTGACTGTCTTTAGGCCCATTTTCCAGACAGCACCAAGAGCTCTTAAAGTTTAGGCAAAATCTAGATCTAGACTTTGGTCTTTGTTTCCTGTCCCAATTTGATATCTAGTAGTCAACATAACTTCTGAAAACCACACTGTATTCTGACTTGGCTAAATCAAGTGAGTTGCATTACTTGCCTCTGAAGTTAGCAAGAAATGACTGGAGCACTTGGGGTCAAACCCAGTATTTCATGAACTAGGAACACACACCCCGCCCCCATACTGGGAGCCCCTTGAAGACAGGAGTATGACTCAGGTTTTACTTTTGAACACTGGGCATTACAGTGTGGTGGGCCCGGATCAAAGCCCCTGCCACCAACAGCACAGCACAAACCTTATCTCTGAGGTAAGCGCAGCAGATTGCCCCATTTGACCCATGAAGAAAGTAAGGTTCAGGGCATTTAAATAATTTTCCAAGGCCACACAGCTGGTGAGGAGGAAAGCCAGGACTGAAGTGCCTGCCCGGTGAACTCCAGAGCTTTGGTCCTCAGCCACTCTCTGGTTACAGAAGGCCCACGTGGAGCTGAATACCACACGCAGGCTCTGTGGAATTATTACCTGCCATCTGAGCTGCAGACAGTCTCAACCAAAGGAGCAATCTTAAACACCTACTGTAACAACAGTCAGCCAGAATAGGACTCTGCCACACAATAACATCAGAAAACCGAACCCATCCTCGTGTGAGGGGGCAGCAGTCTACCCTCAGAATCTGGGGTCACGGGGCTGGGCAGAACGCCCACACTGGGTCCCCACAGCTGTCTCCATTTTTACCTGCATGGCCAAGCAGAGTGTGTTGAGCATGATGAGGACGAACATCATGTATTCGAAAGGCGAAGAGTTTACCACGTACCAGAACTTGTACTGGTAGGGGTTTTTGGGGATGTATCTCCGCAAGGGACGTGCTTTCAAGGCGTATTCGACACACTGACGCTGCAACGGCAGAAAAGGGCAAACACCAGGTTCTGAGCACGTCTAGGTAAGAGGTACACAGGGTCATGTGCTCTGTAAGAACTCACCCCAGCCTCTGGGAAGGGACCAGGGACAGCGGTGAAGGGGACAAGAGCCAGCACCCTTCCTGCAGCCTCCACTGCTGTCTCCGCTGCTCACAGCAGCCCCAAGGGGAAGCAGAGCAACCCTTCTGCTTATTATAAAACAGAGCTCTTGCTGTTTTTGCTAAGGTCCTGCAAAATACATACAAGTAGAGGAAGAACTGGGCCTCGGTCTTTCCTGTCTGCTCGTGGGGCATGTCTCCAGGGCTGCCTGTGCTGTGCTCTGGAAGAGGGAGCCAACCAGCAGGCATAAAATCTCTATGAAGCAGAGAGGCTGTGCTCACTGCAAGACTGGCAGCCCCTGGCAGCTCAGACAGACTCATAAGATGCCTCTCTGGGCTGGAATGCGTTAACGGTACTGACAGCTGGATTGAACTAAGGCTAGGCCTAGCTAGAGCACTGTCCTCCCTCTCACTCTGGAGACGGACACTGGTCTGTCCTCCACAGCAAGCCCAGAGGGAGCGGGAGCCTCTAATTCTGAGAGCCTTCAGCTCATCCTGAGGACTCAGCCCTGTCCCTGCTGTACTGCTTCAACTCCGGGTATGGGCAGGTATCTCACAGGCTTCCTGTGTCCAGGACTTGGTGCTGCTCTGACCTCATATGCTGACTCCAGGGATGCAGCTCCCTGGATGTGAGCCTCTCTGGGACCTCACTGTTGACATTCTTGCAGCCCCAGCCCTTCCTGGCTGGTCTGGGCCTTGCCCTCCAGTAGACAAAGAGCTGATCCAGGCTTCTCTCCACCTGTCACTGGTGGAGACTGCATGGATACCCCAGCAGCTCAGAGGAAAGTCCTCCTCCAAACCAAGCCAGCACAGCCTCACGTCTTCTGCAGTGGGTACAGCTGCAGCCTGGGACAGAATACTCCATCATGTCACCGCCACTCCCCTCAGGAAGCCCAGGCTGTGAGGTCACCCTTGTTTACTATACCACTGCTAAGCAGAAATGCTTCGGCAAGAGGACTGGGGAAGCTCCTAGAACAGACTCTCAATCTCACAGCCATTTTTAGGGTTCAGCTCCTTAACGCCCTCCATTTAAAGATGAGGAAGCAACCCCTGGGAAAAGCAGGAATGTACCCAATGTCACCAAGCAGGTGTAGGCATAGCAGAGCCACAGCATGGAGCTCTTGGATTCCTCATGCACCCCGAAAGCATAGCCAAAGGCCCCCACTTCTACCAGACCAGCTAAAACAAGGTACTAGATAAAGAATGAATAATGCTAGTGGAACCTTTGTCCCGAGTGTAAAGAGTCTGACCTTCCCAGTGGCATTAGAGGGTTCTTCCTAAGACAGCAGCTCTAGACCAGGGGCAACTCAGCTTCTCCAGAAGACATCTGCCGATGCCTGGAAATATTTTGGTTCTCACTACCGGAGGAAGGGGATGCTACTGGCCTCTAGTGGGTAGCAGATGGCCAGGGATATTGAACATTCTGGAGTGCCCAGGAAGCACAAATAAAAAGAATTATCCAGCCCAAAGCATCAGGGGTACCAAGGTGAGAATAGTCTCTTAGTAGGGACTGTGGAAATTTGAGTGGGTGCTTTTGGACCCCAGGCTACAGAATCCCACAAGATTCTGAGCTGTCATTGGTGGGCCATGATCATAGAAAGTGGTGATTTTTCACCAATGGGTCTGGGGATGGATTCTGCAATCTCAGAATCTTTTCTGTCTTCAGGACCTAATTTTCCAGACTGTCACCCCAGAGGGTGACTTGACCTGGCCTCGAGCATGCTCTGAATAGGCTGAGCTCAGGGGGGCCCTCTCTGTGCATGGTGGAAGCACTCAGCAGAAGCGCTCCACTCTTCCTGACGAGCCAGAAGCACAAACAGTGTGTGATTTTAACCTGATTTTTGTCCAGCTCACAGTTCTTATACTCTTTTTCTCCCTGCTCCTGAAATGTAACAATGACAAAGCCCACAAAGATGTTCATCATAAAGAACGCGACAATGATGATATAGATGATGAAGAAGATGGAGATCTCCACGCGGTAGTTGTAGACTGGGCCAACGTTTTCTCCATTTGAGTCAATGGCTTTGTATAGCAACCTGGAGAGCAGAAAAAACAAGTGAGGACCTGCTAGCCCCATTCAGTCCAGCTGCTCCCCTTCCCCGTGTCCCCAGGGTTCTTCTGAACTCCTCCCTAAACCACTGGTTGCCAAACCCTCACAGGGTGCCCCCTTCAAGGCCTCAGACACACTCCAGTCTCGGAGGCGTCCTCTTCCTCCTCAGACCCAGGCAGCTGGCACCTGGAGGAGGAGCCACCCAGGATATAATCCATGAAAGATTGTTCCGAGAACTGCAAACTAAAAGATTCCACAAGTATCCAGTAACACTTCCTTCTAGTCACAGAGAGAAGAGAGAAGAAGGCTGCACGTGACATGTTAGATGAAGGGGAAACTGTACCCAGGCTAGCAAAAAACAACCATCCTACTAGAGCATTTCCAAAGAACCAAGGGAAGTTTCCTCAACTGAAATAAGCACTAAAAGTAAATATATGTCAAGCAGAACTCTTAAGCGGAAGAAGGAAATTACTGTAACTATCCCCACGCTGATGCTGATGTAGATCCGACCCTTGGGGCCCACACACCCTTGTCTCAGACACTCTTACAGGCCCCACCTCATCTCTGCTGCTGTTGGAAAGGCAGACATCATTGTCTCTTTCATTTTCTGGGCACTCAGAGCAGGATCTAAGTGCCCACGGTCACGCTCCTCAGGGGCAGAGTGAGGAGATGAGTTCAGTTCCTTCAGCCCCAAGTACCAGGTTGGTTCACTTTTCCACAGCTGCCTCATGATTTCCTAAAGCCCAGGGCCTAAAACTAGCACTATGGCTAGCGCCTCTGCACTGTGAAGGTCTTGTGCCATGCCTCTTTTCTCCTAGAACCAGTTTCCTAACAAGTAAGCCCCACTCAACTGTTCCTGTACCCAACAGAAGCTGCTGAAAATATATGACTTGGACAGGCACTGAAGAGCTCTGCCAGCTTGCAAGGACCAGCCTGCTGCCCACCTTCGGTAACTCCTCTGGGCATGGGGCATCAGAGAAAAGAGAAAAAAGGGCACAAGAGACCCCACCCACCCACCCCCACTTGCATTCTCCTTCTTCCTTCTTTACCCACCCAAATCTTAGCCATCCGCAGGACCTACTTGGCACATCTAGGACATACTACAGGCCCTGCCTCATTTGCCCACCTGCACCCTCACTAGATTTGGGCTTTGAAGGGAGGAACCATATGTACACTGCTCTGTTTCTTTGCCATGCTGAGCACAGCATGGTACATAGAGCTGATATCAAAAACATACTTTATTAATTTTTTTTTTGGTACCGGAAATTGAACTCAGGGCCTCCTTGCCAGGCAGGCACTGAGCAAAAACATAACTTTATGAACAAGCACGTGCATGTCTCCATGAAAGAAATGGCACAATGGCCACTGTCCACACTTGGCAAGCTATTAGTACTAAGCATCAGAATGAATGAACATTTGGAGGCACTGTGAAGACCCCCTTTAGGAACAGCAGGATGGCAGCTTTACTGAAACGGCTACCAATGGGAGTCTGCACAGTAGATGCCTCTTAGTCCCACCCAGAGACACTGCCCAGGAGCTATACTAGCCTGCTACGAATCTGAGACTCCGGGTAAGCAGGCTGCACAAAGTAATCATGTGCTAATCAGAGGGAGAGAAGCGTCGTGGGGCAAGAGGTCAGGGTAAGTGGCCCAAAGTTAAAGAGTCACAGGACACAGCTGAGACTGAAGGACACAAGTGGGACTCAGACCCGGAGCGTAGACTCAGCCCAGAGCCCCCCAAGGAGCAAGCAGGAGCCCCCCAGGAAGACTGCGCATTTTCTATACTCACGCAGGCCAGCCCTCAAAAGTGGAGACCGTGAAGAGTGCCATCATAGCAGAAAGGACGTTGTCAAAGTTGAAATCACTATTTTGCCAGATCCTTTCACGGACCACGGGGCTATCGACGTCTCCATCCTTGTAGAGGATGAAAAGCCCTCTGCGGAGGAAAATTAGTGTGCATCACTCTGGCTTCACACGTGCCAGGTAGACGCAGCATTAAGTCAGCCTCAGAGCCCCAGTCCTGCCTCCAGGCATGCCACAGCCCCAACAGAGCCACACACCTGAGCGTGACACAGGTGAGTTTCTCCTTTGCTCTCCCTGCATCTAATCTATTCTGCAGTTCAAGCGACTACTGAGTAACTATAGTGCAGAGTATATTCCCTGGAGCGGCTAGGCAGGCATCCAGCATATGTCTGTTAACAAATGGAAACCATAAAACAGTAAACGTTTCTCACTAAAACAGGCTCAGAGTATATGCCAGAGAATCAAAGCTTTGGCATAGAAAATTCTAAAAGCTCTGGGAAATAAGCCCAGGTATATTCTTATCTCATCACATCTCTTTCTCTTCATACTAATGATATTCCCAGCTTTCTCCCCAAAAGAATTCCGTAATTTCTGACATACAGTATTTCTCATTTTTGCAAGGACTCCACAATTATTACTTTACAGGTGAGGAAGCAGAGGCAGAGAAGGAAGGGACAGCACCCATACTCTGATCCTGTATGGCTCTGCTTCAGGGAGCGCTCTGCACCCCACATCTTGGGTGAATACATAGTCACAGTCAAATCGCAACTGCTGCCATGCGATGCACTTTCTGCTTAAAGGAAACTCCAAACCAACACAGGTGATGTGGGCAGCCAGACCCAGGTTAGTTACGTATCCGAAAGATGGGAACATGCGGATTCTACAGTCTTAAGATCTGGGCAGTGGTCTCTGTGCCTGCCTTCTTATTCACTGAGCATCTTGGAATAAGAGACCCAAGCACTTCCTGCTTTATCTCACCTCTGCCAGTTCATGTCAATGAAAGTATAGCTCAAACCTGAGACAGGAGCAAGGAGAGTAGAAGTCTGGAAAATCTGCCACAAGAGGGTAGCCAGCTCCTGCATCCCAGAGAGCTGAGCTGCAAGGTCTGACTGGAGGGAATATCATCCACGGGTAAGGAGAGCTCTTTGCAGCATTTCACAACTGTTATTTATCCCTGGCCACTGAACTGTTCTTTTGGGATGAACAAAAGTTCTGAATCTGGAGGTGATGGCTGCACAATGACATGACTACACTAAATGCTCCTGGATTGTACCCTTTCAACTACCGATTTTATGTTCAGTAAGCTGCACCTCAATTTTAAACAAACAAACAAAAATACCACATAACATATACTCAGCCATCACCTGAGCACACAGGCATTGTTTTATTCCCTGACAAAAAGTTCTGAAAAGCTAGCATGAGTGAATCCTTGAGGTTTTTTATGTATTCTTCCAAACTCCCTGCTCTGCTCTCCAGACACTGACCTGCACTCTTCAGGGTTACTTTTGGCTTCGTCTGTGCAGCGATAGAACTTCCCCTAGGTACAGAGCAGACAGACAGTCAAGCATAGGCTCCTCCCGGAGGCAGTCAGCCTGCCAAGGCTAAAGGCGCGTCGCTCTACCTTGAACAACTGCACCCCAATGCAGGCAAACATGAACTGGAGGAGGGTAGTGACGATCATGATGTTGCCAATTGTCCGGATGGCCACGAAGACGCACTGGACAACGTGCTGGCGAGAGAAGGGTGGGAAGAGGATGGAGGGGTGTCACTCTCCTTTGTTATCTGAGCACTAGGTGAGCTAAGGCCCACCCCGGCTCCTATTTTCATAGTTTTCCAACCGTGTGGTCCTCTGTGCTTTGTTTTTCAGGCTCTCCGCAGGGGGTGCCACGGTGCCATCACAGCCACTGTGAGGAGCACTTTGTAAGAAGGCCCCTCTTTGGCGGCTTCCGAAGAAGTCGATATAGTTGGGAGAAATGCTGTGGGGTACACAGCACTGGCCAGCACGGAGGACCAAAGGGCTTCCCATCCCATAAGGGACGAAGGAAAATGCAAACTCTTTTTTGTATTATCTGCATGAGGACAGATTTCAAGACTAAAATAGACACAGATACTACTGATAACAAGAAATATTAAATGAATGTTAATCATTAAGAAAAACATCTCAAATTAACAAAAATAGCTAATCTTTAAAATGCCATCGGTACATGGCAGAGATGGACTGATCAGTGAGAAAGGTCTCTCTTTGAAATCCACCAGATTTCACCTCGGCTCTGGTCCAGAAGAGTCAGTAATTACAGGCAACCCTCACCCAAACCAGCCCCACTGGAAGGAAAAGCAGCAATACCTTAAGTCCTTTTGCTCTGTTGATGGCTCTAAGGGGCCTCAAGACCCTTAAGACCCTCAGAATCTTCACAACAGAGATGGCACTGGATCTAAGGAAGAGCAAAGGTAAGGAAGCAAACTGAGCATATTATGGGGTGGACAGAATACCTTGAGATTAGTTACTTCACTTGACTTTCACCTCTTTGATACCACAACACAAGGTGCATGGGAGGGGTGTGGAGCTGAGCTGATCTCTCTTCAGGGCTTAAGCATGATCATCTTCCAGTGCACACTATGCAGGGCCTGTGGGCACTCACTGAGCCCTGCCTCAGACACACAATGGACTTTGGCAGAAATACAACCTACAAACTTGCTTTGTTCTTTACACTCAATGTACGAGAGGTAATATACAAAATATACAGTGAAATAAAAAATATACAGTAATATACAAAATATACAGTGAAAGTTTAAATTTTAAAATTTTATTATTGTAAAAGGCACATTTCCCATTAATCTCCCTCAAAATACTCCTCCTCCTGTCAAACGCATTTATCCCATTGTTCCTGCCACTTTTTGAAGCAGTGTCCTCTTTTGTGTCTTTAAGAGGGGTGAAAAATGCAGGGATGGCTGCTGCCAAGTGCCACCCGACTAAAGGCAGGCTCCTAAAGCACGACGGTGTGCCCTCACCCACGCTTTATTCACTGGAGCTGGCACTGTGTGACTCTTGGCTCTTTCCCCAAATCAAAGTGACCATGAAAGGTAAACATTTTGGTTTGATTCAGAGCATCAAAGCAGCCACAACAGTGCAGCTAAAGACACTCACAAAAGAGGATGTCCAGAACTGCTTCAGAAAGCGGCAAGAATGGTGAGATAAGTGTGTTCAAAGAGAGGAAGTCTTGTGAGGGTAACGACAATGTGGTTTTTACTATAACAAATCTAAAAAATTTAACATTCATCATATTTTATGATCATATCTCACGAATGCTAGGTACTCGATGGCTTTTAGATGTCAGTGCTTGTTTAAGTTTGGAGCCCTGTTGTAGTAGTTTGTTGCTGGGGCTTCTCCTGCCATAAAGGAGTTGAGCCTGGGAGGAGAAATGGACAATCACAACGCCAAGTGGTGCCCATGACAACAGGATAAAAGCAATGGGCTCACCTGGGTGAGCACAACCTTAGGGGTAGCCTGGGAAGGCCTTCCAGGGAGGCGACACCTTCTAGCTGGGTGAATCGCAGAGGAGGAGCAGGAGTTGAACAAGAGAGGGCTCCGAGCTGAGGGGTGAGTGGGGCTCTGGTGAGAGAAGCCAGCTTGGGCGCAGTGCCCCCGGTAGCGGGGTGGGCAGGTACAGCCCGAGCTGTGAAGGTGCTAACACGACATCCTTCCAAGCTGCAGGGTCCCTCCCACAGGCAGCTGTGGGAGTGGAGGAAGGTGACAGAGCGAAGTTCCAGAAAGGGTTTCTTCGTCCTCCCTGGCTACCATACGCTTAACATGGGAGTGAGTACTAATGGTTACCACCAGAGAGGAGGCGCTCACAGGTCGGCAGCCAAATGAGGCCACACCGGCCGCTCCCATGAGAGCCTCTGCCCCAGGCCCCTACATGATGCAGCCAAGCAGTGCTCCACATGGCTATGCCCCTCCAGAAACCCCTCAATGCCAGGGAAGGACCTAGGCCACTAACTTTCAACCTCATTTCCCTCCTGGCTGAAAAGTTTTAGAGGCCAAGAGAAAAAAGGTCAGAAGTGCTGCATCCTGGAAAATCCAGAGAAGTCTTCACTGTCCATGCAGATAGGTCCTTGACAGGCCACTTGATGCCAGCCCTTCCTGCATTTGAGGGAAACTGAGATCCTGAGAGAGGGTGTCCTCGGGCTGGGACCAGCCTCTGGAAGAACTTTTGGCATAGGGGCAAATTAAGCAATCTTGGCTAAGTAAATAAAATCATTAAAACAATGCATAGGCTTTATGAATTATGATACAATTTCTTACATAAATCATCCTGCCAATACTCTTGGGTACACACATGTACGCGTGCAAATACTTACTGAATCCCAAATGACACCAGAGACACACCAACAACTAGCATGTCCAGCAAATTGAAGTAGTTCCTGCAGAAAGCCCCTTTGTGCAAGAAAGCTCCAAAAGTCGTCATCTATAAACAGAATCACGGGTTATTTCCTGTCTTTTCTCTTCAGAGGCAAAGAAACCTGGGCTCTTCACAAAATCTCAAGGAAACTGTGGCTTTGTTAACAAGTACACGTTAGGAAGTCAGAAATGTAAACCCCTAACAGGGCTGGGCAGGCAAACAACTTATTCAAACAAAATGGAAAAAGGGCAGCTGATTTCAGACACAATTTTACAGAGACCAATTTAGACTTTGTTATTTCAAGGACAGGTTTCAAGTGTGAATACATCACTGGCACGTGTAAAGAGCGTGTCTCAGGAGAGACTCCACACAGCTGTGTTTGTCAGGATGCCATCACTGCCTGGACACCCTGGCTGACCCGCAAAGCACGGGTCTAGCCTCTCTGAGCTCCCAGCAGAGCCCTGAGTTCCAATTAGGCCTTCTGAGTGGAAGCCAGAAAAAGGACCAGAGTTCATCACTCACAGGCCCTATGTATGTAGAAACCTGAATCCTTTTTCCATGCAGGCCTCTTATTACTGTTCCTAGCTGATTTTAACAATCCACCCATTTCAAGAGATGACAAGAGACAAGAAAGTACACTAAGAGATGAGGAAGGAGATAAAGAAGAGGAGACAGGAAGCAGATGAGTTGTAATGGGGTCGGGAATAATCAAAATATGTTATATGCATGTACCAATTTATCAAAACAAACCTTGCTTATCTGCATTAGTAACATGTATTAATAAAAAAATCCACCCATTTCAAGTGGCTCTGCCATGTCTTGTTACTCTAGCCATGGGTAGCAAGAAAGCTGTCATATGATAGTACACCCATGTTAGTCTCATTATTTCTTGTCATGTGTTGTGTACCTAGAGCACAAATTATGAATAAATCATGTAATGATAGAAAAAGAGTTTAGTAAGAAAGTTTTCCCCACAGTAAAAACAGAAAAATATAGAAAATTCACTATTTTATTTATTTAGTTAGTTTGTTTGTTTTTGGTACCAGGGATCAAACTTGGGACCTTGCGCTTGCGCGTCAGGTGCCAGAACCACTGAGCTAAATCCCCGGCCCCTTAAATTCACTATTTTTTAAAAACAAAAACAAAAAAGGTGGAATGAAGGCTCAGATAAGTACAGTCGAGGAGAGGCAAAGTTGGGAAATATTGCCCTGAATTTGATGAATTGCCAATATTCAACCCTCTTGACCTACAAAAATGGCAAATGCACAGTTTAACCAAATAAATAGGCTTTGAAATCTTCTAAGGAATCCAGGAACCAACACGCAGATGTTAGATAATTCTTGGTGAATCTCCACTTTATGAATCTTTCTTGTTTCAGCTTATTTTTCACTCTAAAACACCTTTACAATGAACGATGACTTAGAAGATTTAAGTCACTGAGGCAAATCTATGGAAATTAAAAAGCAACAATCATTTTTCTCTCTTTTAAATAACTCAAGATCTCATTTCCCCCAGAGCCCGAGAGTAACTATATTCATTTAACAACTTAAAAAGGTGGAGAGTAAAATAAAACCTCAGCTAATCAGGGGTTGGGGATTTAGCTCAGTGGTTCTGCCGCCTGCCTCGCAAGCTCAAGGTCCCGAGTTTGATCCCCGGTACCAAAAAAAACCCCTCAGCTAACCAGGCTCATAGGCCAAGTAGAACATTCCCCATTCCACGTGAGAAGGAGAAAGCAAATGACACAAACGAGAACCCGAGGTGGGAACAGAGGCGGCGGGAGCCCCTACACCACCCTTCCTGTGTTTTCTGCACCATGGTCCTTACCATGGGACCCTAAGGTCACCACTCCCTGCCTGGCCCTCACGCAGGACACAACTGTCAGCCAACTTCGCTGGATTAAAGGCAGGAAAATGAATTTAAACTTTTATAACACATGGACTAATGACTAAACCAGATACTGATTGGTTAGTTTTGAGCTTAGTTTTCATTAACAACAACAGAAAGAGGCCACTACCCGGCCACATTAATTGAAGATTCTTTTACAGAAGATGTTGTGAAGAGCGCAAGTTCCACAGTAGTCCAACATAAAATTCATTTTTTTTTTCCTGAGATGCACATGCAAACACCTCACAATGGTTTAAAGAAAGCTGCGATTTGAAGTTTTTGATTCTTAGCTTCTTGCTCCGACTGTTCTCCCAGCCCGTGTCCGCCCACAGCCATAAGGACCTCCCGCAGGGCCTCAGCTCTCTGCTGTTGGTCTCCCCACCTCTGAGCACACAGCAGGAATGAGCTCCCCGTGGCACAGCCTTCATGGTCACCACACAAACCACATCCAGCAACGGCAACTGCTAGCTCATGCATGGGCAGTACATTTAAGTTGCCCTGTGCGAAGGTGCTCCTTTCGTCTGCGTAAATGTAAGCCCATCCATTAAAGCAGATAGAAACTATCTGAACACAACTGGACCCAAGATATCTTGCAAAACTTGTTGCAAGAAAATAGTACGGTATGCTACTATTTTAGGCCAGTGAAAGCATACCGCAGTCAGAGAAACGAGGAGACATTCCCTTCGTGGGATAAATGTTTCTCCTCTGACTTTGATGTTGGAAAGGGTAGAAGAAAGTTCACGCACAGAGCAGTATCTGTTATCAGTGGACAAACTTCAGAGGATTTTTTTTTTTTAAGAAGAAAAATATCATCACCAATTATTATGTGAAGCCAAATTAGCTCCTACATGCATTCAAAGGTTAAAATGAAACAAAAAAAATAGTTGGAATGATCACAGAAAAAAAATCCTTTGGTTAAAAATAAAAAAGTTTAGTTTGATCACAGGAGACGAAAAAGAGCCAAAAGCACTTCACGCTTCTTTCCCGTGTCTCACACACAGGAGCAGGTCCTTGAACACACTGCTGGGTAGCCTGTTACCTTCAAAATGATCTCAAATGCAAAAGTACCAGTGAAGGCATAATCTGCATAACCTAGCATCTGGAAGGGAAACAAAGAACGGCAACTATTATTGTTACAGCTGCTTTAGGGAGTGAGGGTCAATGAAAAACACCATTACCTTTAACAGGATTTCAACAGTAAAGATGGCTGTGAAAGCATAGTCAAAGTAACCCAGTATCTGCAAGGCACAACATGTGGAAATAAGAACATGGCATCTGGACAGGTTTGGACAGCTATGTACCCACCGGCAGAACCCCCACCTGCATGGCCAGAGACCCGTCCTCCTGAGAGGCCCTGCTGCACTGGAGGTAGGGCGGAGATGATCAGAAGCGCCCACCCTGGCCCGGTAACAGCCCCTCTTTCTGACCAGCATGGAGCCTTGGCAAGCGTAGGCACCTTAGCCGCTCATGCTACCTGCTTCCCAGGCTCCTGCTCTGGGCTGATGGGGCCTAATTTCTGGAAGTGCTAAATTAACAACCTTTTCTCGTCAGTATGCTACATCCACCAAGGTTGTGGCCCCTGATAAAACTGCAGCCATACACATTTTGGATTTTTTAACTACTTTTGGCTGAATGAAGTATGCTGCCATCCAGCTGAGCTGCACCTTGGTGGAGAAATGTAAATACAGATGGGCTGGGCATGTAGCTCAGTGGTGGGACACTTGCCTAACATGCATTCAATCTCCATTGCTGCAAAAAGCAAAACTTTAAAACATGATATTAGCCGCATCAGATATAGCCAGAAGCTTCCATGTGTGACTTGCATTCTAGTCCATTTATTCAGTGAGTATCCCAGCCTCCCTCAATGTATTGGGCTGGCCTAGTGTGCCATGCGTACCTTTACCTGCCATCTTTGCCTGCCCATTGCTCTGCGTTTCACACTCCTCTTTCCCAATCCTGAGTTTCCATCTAGCTGAACCCACTCACAGAACAGATTGACTTGGCCTCAAATTTCAGTCCAAGCTACTCCATCAGCATTCTGAAAATACTATCTACCATCCAACAGAGTCCTGTTACCCCCTCCTGGATCTCTGCTCCCTGTAAGAATCAGAGACAGGGCAGATGGACCAGTAGCAAGAAGACTGAGCACTCCACCGAGGCCACTCAGGGAACTGCCGACCACAGCATCTTCAACCAGTAAGATGGCAGCCTCAACTTTACCAGGAGATGAGGCCTCTGCTGCTGATACTCATGGCAACTTTGCTTTGTAGTTTTAAAAGAACCAGAGACAGAGGAGTTGGAAAGACTGAAGATTATTCACTTGAGAACAAGAACACGAACAGGGTTAGAGGCGCCTGCTCAGGCCCCTCAGTCACAGGCTGAGCAAGAAGAGCTATGAGGTGCTAGCTGCGAGCCCCTGGCCAGGCCATTTCAGGGCAGGGCTCTGCTGCTCCTCCACAATAAGGCAAGGGGCTCTGCTTCAGGGTCTGCTCTCCTCAGCTCGCCTCTCCTCCAAGGGTAACCCTCTCCCAAACTGTTTCTTTAGGGTTTGTAAACACTTCCGCACGACTGTTTCCTGTCGAGCACAGGAAGGTATTTTCTAATACACCGTCAAGCCCTTGCCACCTTCTTCTTTTCCCTTCTAGGACACAGTGGGGATGTTAATGTTGGAAGCACCCAGCAGCCAGGAAGGATAATGCTGCCAAGTCTGTTTGGTGCAAGGTTTAAATTGTTCTCTCCTCCTCCAGCTTCCGTTTTCTTTTACACTAAGCATCCAGCTACGCTTAAAATGAAACACTGTAATGTTTTAAAAGCCATACACATAAACACATGTACATCTATGTAAAAAGACCAGTCCCAATTTTGGGACAAGTAGCAAAGAAATAAATTCGTAGGCATAATACACAGAGAAACATGAGGCGCCAGCATAAATCACTCCTTGGCAATGAGTATTCTAGTCCACCTCTTAACCTAGCCTGCCGGATAACGATTTTTTTTCCAAGCATCTTTTCCCTCTCGTGCTTCAAATTCATGATGGAACTCCATGCCACAGAGGTCATTATTCCATCTGAATAATGGGGAGACAGCCCTGAAGATCTCTAGAAAAGAAAATCCCTAATCTTTGAGAACCCATTAAGACAAGCTCAGTGCCTTTATCGTTCCATCAATGCCAACACGTGCCATGGGGGACAGGGCTATCTATCTATCTCCCTGTCAGCACACAAGTTTCATCGCTCAGACAGACAGGTGTGACAGGCCTGCCTATCACGACAGAGAGCTGGACGCACTGCTCCTCCTATCTCAATCCTACAATCCCTACCAAACTCACACACAGAAAGAGGCAGTGATCCCGGTGCCTTGACACTTGCTAGCCTCCCTTTCTGGGGGTAGGAAGGGGCTTCCTCATCGTAGCCTGGGACTGCAGCGGAGTACCCAGGCCTGACCAAAGGCCACTGCCGTCCTCTGAAGTCGCCTGCCTGCCGTGGCTTTCCTCATGCAGAATGAACTGAACTAGAGGGACTGCAGAAGCGACAGCTACTTTAGGTACGAATTCCTTTCTAGCACAGATGCACCCGGGGACACTACCCGTAAGCTAGACAACTGATGCATAATAGGAAACTTAACCCTCTACTAGTTTTCTTAGCACAACTGCCCTTTGCCACACTAAAGCCTCAAGTTCCTCATATCTGCAGACTCTCAACGCTGCAACCCCATCATCTTTGGGCCTTGTATTTCTCCTCACTAATGGGGCCAGGCAGCTCTATGTGTTTATCCACGCATATGATAGAAATCTCTCCCCAAAATCCTACGTAAGAGCTCCTAGGCTTGTTGTATGCCTAGAATCAATTTTTCCTTCTCCTTGCTCTATGCTCCTGAGAGGCCTAAATCTCAAAATAGGTGTGACTGTGGTTCTGACAGGGAGGGAGAAAGAATAACCAAAATGTCAGCAGCAAGGAGCACAGAGGAGAAGCAGTGTCCCTGAATACATTATAAGTTACTGCAGAGGATTTTAAATGAAGTTCAAAATGAGTAATTCCATTCCAACTTGCCCAGATAAAACAAGATCTCTGGCGCTCACAATCTGGAAACATGAAGGTTTCCACAGGAGCTAGAGGTCTGCCCTGGCTCTGCCCTCTTCTCCAGGAGGCCTCTGTCCAAGACAGGCCAGTGTTGACCCCAGAGGGAGCCCCACCCGCCTCTCCTCTCTCGGAGGCTTACAGTGTTCCGGAAGGAGTGGCTGCGGATGGGGTCCTCCGCGGCCAGGGCAGCGCTGCTCAGCATGATGAAGACGAGGATGAGGTTGGTGAAGACGTGGTGGTTGATGAGCTTGTGGCAGCCCACACGGATCCTGTGGGGAAAAGCTGCTGCATGGACACGGGCCCAGACAAGGGCCTCCGGGTGCTGGGCCCTCGCGGTGCAAGATCAGGGCAGGCGGGGGCAGCTGTCTGTGAGGCCACGCGTGCCCCCCGACAGGCAGATCAGAGTGATGTAGCCGTTCCCTTCACAAAGTCCATCACAAGCTCCCATGTGCCATGGAGTGACCAGTGCTGTGTTAGAAGCTCCACAGACACTGCTGCATCTAGTCCTCAGACAGGGGAAGAATCTACCCTTCAGAAGATGGGGCAAATGAGGCTTATGGACGTGAAAAAACTCTAAGGTAACAGAGCGTCTATGGATTGGGGCAGATTTCCAGCCCAGACCTGCTTGACTTTGAAGTTTTTCCATTACAACATGAAGCGTGACAGTTTACCATCCCTTCTTACAAAGGAAACTGTCAAACTAAATTTGGCCTGATCAAGACTCCCTATCTTGAATCCCTACCTAACAAACCACAACCTAACTTGGTAAGCAAACTAATTGCGGGCCAAACTTGGAGTATACTCAGGTAGCAAGCAGCTTGGTCTCTGTCAACCACAGCAGCGGGTACAGGCCGCACCACAGCCAGTGAAGCGGTCTCCATTCCTGACTTTCATTTCCTGTCCATAAATGCTGCTGCCCACACTGCACAGGGTAGCTCTCCGAACCCCTTCCATTCTCAGGGCCGCTTGACTTGTGAATCATTCTTTGCTCAAACTCTGTCAAAATGAATTTGTCTAAAGTTTTTATTTTAATACAGAGAGTGAGACAAATTCCTTTCTTGTACTGCACGGCAGGGGTGTATTAAAATCCGAACTGCAAAATATAAGTTGGGGTCGGGGAAACCTCCTGTTGTCTGCAGGTTTCATTATATATGTTGTATTTTAGAGTTGATCCACAGCAAACAATCTTCAGTGAAGTGAGCTACACTGTCACTTGCTAACATGCAAGGATCTGTTTGCACCGTGTGATGGAGTTTTCACAGCGTTCTGGGGTCCCAGGAAGCAAGGAAAGGCAGCTGTGCCCAGTACCCCAGGCACTGGGTGCTAGTGATGGCTCCCTGGGTTATCAGAACCTCTCCTGCTGCCCTGAGGTGCCATGGGGCTAGTCAGCAACTGACTGTCCTTATCCTCAATATTTGACTTTAGAATATAAAAAGGGCTTTTGTTTTGCTGTTGCTTTTTGTTTTGCCAATAGAATATAGATAGTTTTTCCTTAAAAAATTTTTTCTCATTTTTGAAACTGGAGTCAACTTTATATGAAGGTGACCTTTCACTTTAGTTCCCCTCTTTGTGGCTGCTCAATGCTGAATGCCCCCTGGAGGGCTTGCAAGCTGTTACTAGAGTCTGGGGAGGCCTTCCATGGCAATGAGGACTGGGTGCTTGTGACTTTGGGGGACAAACCCATCCATTCTTTCAACATCTGTATACTTGGTGAGCTGCAGGTATCAAGAACATCGCTGCAATAACCTTTTATTTTTTTAAGGGCATCCAAAGAGTGATGAGCTATAAAAATGATCATCAGATCTTCATGTTTCAAGGACTCTAACATATCTTGCTTTGGACCTGCACTTCTCTAGGGCCTCCGGATTATGCAGTATTCCTCCCTGACAGCCAAGAACCACTTCTGCAGTTCTAGTAAACTTTCCAGGAGCCACTGATTCCCCTGGCAGCTCTCTTAATCTCACACGACTAAGACCTAGAAACCAGCTAGTAAATATATTTCTTCCTCTTATAGTACTCGTGAGACATTACTACATTCTTCGAGTGCACCTTGTCATTTTAACATGAGAAATGCTATGTCCACCAGAGCATCACAGAACTTAAAACCTATAAAACAGCATTGTGCAGTACTACTTTATCATCATAAAGGAAAAAACAGGGAAAAAGACCACCTAAAAAGATCTGATTATAAAGATGCTGTGCAGAATTTGACCGGAAAATGCATATCCCACAAAGCATCTAAAGATCCACTCATTAAGAAAAGGTCTCAGGGATGACCAGGGCACAGAACAACAAGGTAGTGGGTTCCACCTGGAATATCCTGGTGATCACAGACATTTCTCCATTGCTTTCCTATCTAGGGGTTATGGAAGGAGGAAAACCTAGAACAGCATTGCTCCAAGGACCTGGTCACATGCCCACAGGAACAAGAAGGCTAAGAAGTCATAAACTGATGGCAAAAGGCAAGAATAGAGCAGGAGAGGAGCCAGAGGGAATGTGGCGGGAGGGCTATAGGGTTAGAAGGGGACTGTGAGCCACTTTCTCTCGCTCCAGCCCAGCCACCCACAAGCAACCTACAGGGTCATTGCAGAGAGGTGCCAGTGACAGGACTAGAAAGGGGGATATTTACGGGTTGGTCTTGCTGAGAATGAAGAAAGCACTCCCTTCAGGGATGGGGGCGATTTTCTCCTTCATGTTCAACTCTGAGATTCTGCGAGGGCGGGGACCAGCGGGAACTTCAGGTTCATCCTCCTCCTCCTCCTCTTCCTCTTCACCTACTTTAAATAAAACACTTTTTTAATAGGTGAAGTAGAGACCACACATGGGTTTTCATTATTATGCTCAAGTTTACTTAAACATCATGTACCTGTTTACACTAATCCAAACCTTCCAGGATCCTTTGAAACAGTTTGAGTCAAAGGACAAAAGTGACAGGGAGGCAGCCCTGTGTAAGCAGTGTATTTAGCTGGAGGAATGAGGTTTGCTGCAGGCACCATCTGTCCACAGACAAGGTGGGAGCAGTGAGAGTCTCACTGCCATCCTCCCAGCACCTGGCTGTTTCCCCAGTAACCTCCGTGCTCAGCTTTAGTCTGAAAATCTGGACGCGGGACTTCAAGTCACAAACCAGCAGCCCCTGGGCTGCCAAGTCCACAGTCCCACTTTATCAGCCAATAAAAGCATCAGTCAAATGTAAAAGCACGAGGTGAGTGCTAACAACTAGTCTCACAAAAAGGCTTCCCAGCAACAGGTGGCTCTATCCTGATCCACCCACGCTCTCCCCCCTCTCACCTGGAATTTGAGTTTTGTATGCTTTCTGGACCATAGGAAAAAATGGAGCTAACTGGTCCACACGCAATTGGGCCTGTGGCCTTGATGGCCTCAGTAGCCTCGTGTGACCCAAGCCGGGCCAGCCAGCCACAGACTCAGTGGCAAGAGACGCAGTGGTAGCAGAGCCACATTATTCACGAGCGGAGAGCCTATCTCCGGCCATCACCACCATACCTGGCACATCACAAGGCGGGTAAGGGTCCTTGTCCTCATCTTCCTCTCGATAGTCATCAACTGTAACCTAGAACAACAGAGACACCTTGGGAGGAGGGGAGATGCTGATTTAAATGCACTTCACAGAGCCAAAGCGAAAAGCCAACTTGCCTTCAGCACCGGGTGGAAAATTTCTCCCCGAAGTGTGTGTCTGTGTGTGTGAGTGAGCAGGACAGGCAGATGGTGACTCTGCTTCAGGCAGAAGGCCTGAGGGCAATGAGAGATAAAATACTGACTCAGGCAGGACTGATGGACACACTCCATGGCTCTGCTCTGCCCTTTTGCTGTCCCAGGACAGCCAAGAACACTACATGATAACATTCAGATTCCTGTCTTTCCCCCCAGATTGTGAACTCCACAGAGGCAGGGGCCTTGTCGATCATCCTTCCTAAATTCCCAGTTTCTGACATGGGATCACCACTCAGTATTTGTTAACTCAATGGGCAAACGAATGAATGAAACATCCAGAGCTGTCCTAAGTGGAATGATGTTGATTATGATTTAGATCTAGCACATCCCCCTAGAGCAGTGATGGCAAACCTTTCAGACCTTTCAATGATACAAATAGCCTGCTGTGGCACACGTGCCCTAGGTTCGCCACCACTACCCTACAGCCTTATGTGTACAGAGGTGGGGCTTTTGGAAGGTGACTGGATCATGGGAGTGCTCTGCTCATCAGTGGATACAGCCACTAAGGAGTTCAGTAGCTGAGTGCGCTGGTAGGAGGCAGAGCCTGGTCAGAAGAGGAAGGTCACAGGGGTCATGACCTGGAAGGGCATACCTCCCTCCCTGGCTCCTCCCTCTTCTCTCTTTGCTTCCTGGTTGCCCTGACTTGAGCAGCTTTCCCATGGAGCCAGCTGACCAGGGAGCGAAATCTCTGAGACTGTGAGCCAAAATAAACCTCTCTTCCTTTAAGTCGTGGGTGTCAGGATGTGTCTCAGTGACAGGAAAGTGATGCAGACAAAGTCTGACAGTGCACCCTGAGGCTTCCCAGACCACTTGATCCTGAGGTCACCTCTGGAACCTACTAACTGGACCTACTAACAGTTCTGATGTTAATCCCACTCAGAGGCTGCTAACATGATCCTGACCACGGGTCAGGTCTGACCACATAATTCCAACAAAATAAAGTTAAATAGTCAAACTGTTCAAATATTTATCATCTTGGTTCTCTGGTAAAATGATAAGTAACAGCCAGCTCCCTGATGAAATTTAATCAGAATCCCCCCAGAAAGCCAGCGTCTATATGACACGCTCTACTTTTCACAACAAAATACTGAAAATGAGGCACTTCCACAAGATAAGCGTTACATCTGTGGAGACACCACAATCACTGTGAAACAGAGGAGTTATCTTAGAAGAAATACCTTGTTGTCACTGTTGGCTATTTGGTTGACTTCTGGTTTGTGGTTCTTTTTATTTTCTAGGCTCTCTTTTCTACAGAGAAGAGAAAAGAACACAAGAAACCAAGTAACCATATGACTACGTATAAAAGTGCAAATCAAGATTCTGTATCAGCAGAGTCCCAGTGAAGGAAAACTGGAAACAACACGAACAGTAAGAGCATAGCACAACCCCAATTCAGGGCTTCCTGTTCATCTAATGCAATGGATTCATTACACAGATCATCTTATTAAAATTCTCATCCAAGAGCTAATCAGCATTGAATGCATCATTTATTTCATGACATCAAAATTAACCACAGTGATTCTTTAAGCACGAGGATGCGTGACTCTCATTCTCAGCTATGGGGCTAAGAGCCAAGGGCCTGGCTTCTGCCCAAGACTCCCTCCTCCTTGGTCTGCACCACACGGTCATCCACAATCACTGCAAAGCAGCAACATGAGAATGCAGCTCCTGAGAAGCACTCCTGGAGCCCACCAGGTCTCCCAGGCAGCTGGGGTCCTCTTGGACCCCTGGAAAAATACTGCAGGAGAAAATAAGGTTACCTGGCAATCTTTTTCCTTTCTTTTTCTTCAGCTTCCTCTTTTTGGGCAGTGTTCAAACTTTCAGCATCAGCCAAGTTGTCTACAGCAATGGCCAGGAAGACATTCAGTAGAATATCTAATTTGAAAACTTTAAGGGAACAACACATTTCTAAACATAATTACATATGGTCAGTAATGGAAATGTCACACCCCTCTCTGTGATCTGGGAGGCTGGTGGTAGGTGACTGTCCTTGCAAAACAAAACAAAACACACCACCTAGAGATCTGTGTAAATCTGAAAAGAGGTAAGATAAAGATTCACTGAAAACCTATAAACTTCAACAGTTCCTTGCCTATGTGTTTCCATACATCTATAGCTGACAGATACTGTATAAAGCAATCTACAACCTACATATATGTTATAATTAAAAAGTACCCTGGGTTTGCTTTCTTTGAAGACACGTATCACAACATACATACTCAGGGGTGTGCTCTTCAAACCAGACTCCCTCAAAGGCCACAAATCACTCAAATGATGATCCTGTCACATAAGACAATATGAAACTTTCCCTTCCTAAGTGGCCTTCCAAGTCTGTGGAGAACTCATTCATTTCTTCACTCCACAAACATCTGCTGAAGAGAACAGTCAGACCTCCTGCCAGATGGTGCTATCTTCTCAACAGTCCCACTGTGGCTACATCTTGGATTATTGTGGCTGAAACTGTTTTTGTGAATAGTAAAGGGTTAAGCGAACGAGTTTACAAGTTTTCAGCTTTCTTTTGACTGTTACTATGATGTTGTATGTGTGTTTTCCTTAAAATTTTTTAAAAGTATTCTGAACAAGGTTCGCAAGTCAGGAGATGATTGTTTCTCATGCCACAGCAGTCAAGGACAGTTTTGAGATACACAGGGTCAGAGGGAAATAAATGAGAGGAGCTCATGCTATGATGAATCTTCTCTCTTCTTGACATGCAGCCACCGGTCGGCAAAATTATGGGGGCCCAGAGTCCTTGAGACAAGTGCTACAAACACCCTGTGCAATACGAAATCTCAGGTGGGGTGCTGAACAGACAAACCAACGTAAAAACAAGGGACTGAGGATGAGATCTCCGTGGGGGATATCATGCTCGACTAATTCTATGCCAGACTTCAAAGGGGACAGAAACCCGAGTAAATTACATGAAGACTTTCAAAATGCCTTTGATATGCCAGGCTACTTTTTAACTGGATTTGCAATGAGATGAGCCTAAGGAAACAATTTGTCCTGGGCCAGAATGGGTTGGTTACTCATGACACTGGGTAATGATGGCTTAGACGGGTCGGTGGTAAGAACAGCTGTGTCAAGCGTACCTCTCAATAAAGAAATAACCACCTCGCTATCCTTGCAATGACACTAAACTCTTTTTGGTGGTGGAAAGAAACTATGGACTAATAAACCACAGGAAAAGTCTTACAAGCTTGTAACACATAGTTTCCAAGAGCAAAAACCCACCATGTACCTTCAGGGGCATTATCCAGACTGTCCTAAATCTCAGTGTGCTGCGGAATTCATTCAAAAAGATCTACAAAGCAGCTCTGACGTGCCAGGCCCTGTCCTAGGTACACAGGACATGAGAGGAAACATGACAGAATAGACAGACAGAGATACAGTCCTAACCTTCCAAGGATGACAACACGTAGGACAACCCGGCTTTGCCTGTCACTCCACATGTGCGAGGCATGATGCCAAGCAGAATGACCTCTGGCATGAACACATATGTTGTCTCCCCCTGCCAGCTTGCTTTCCTCAAAGCCTTGCTGGGCCTCTGCTTATACGATGCTGCCCCCAGTACCAATGGAAGGAAAGCACACACTGAGCTAGCAAGGTAAAGGCATTTCTCTCCCACCACAGCTACCACCACCACCATTACCACAGGGGAAATCAGAGAGAAAAAACCCCAAGACAATGATAATGACAACAAAGCTCTGGCTGTCCCAAAGGATACAGTTACCACAGATGAAGAGGATGATGAAGTAGATGCAGACAATCATTCCCGAAGAGGATGGGCCTCCATAAGCCATGATGCCGTCATACATCACAGCATTCCAGTCTTCACCTGTCAGAATCTAAGAGGCCCAAACTACTGTCAGACAGCAGGTAGATTCACAAGTCACAGCTGCTCTCCCAGAACTCCTCGGCGGCTACCTAAGTAAGGTTTAGGCTGACTCGCACAGTCCCGCTTACACTGAATAAATCCATTGTCATACCACAGAATTTTCAAGACATTATTTTTAACTGCATAAATAGATGAGTAGAATCTTCTAGTGAAACAAATCTTTACACACGAGCCTTAGGCACCTTATTACACCCCAGCTTGGTTTTTGTTCCCTCCCCAGAGAGCATAATGTTGATGTGTGTCTCTCTGGGACCTCACTATGGATTTCAGTACATGTACACACACCTCAAGAGAAGAGGCAATGGGTATCTTCTGATTTTTTTTATAGGCATAAAGCCTGTCATACAATAAAAAATTTTTCTTCAACTGTTTTTTCCCTGTTCAACAATATTCCCTGGCGATCCACTGTATCAGTAAGTTATCTCATTATTTTAACTGCTACATTGTATTCCATATAGTTAAATAACTGTGGAAATGGGGATTATATCTACGGGTTTTTAGAAGGAAGGAATTCTAAATGTCTCTTAAGTTTATGAAAAATTTAAATCTTTTCTATCGATGATAACGGAAAATTCAGACAATCTTAAATAGAATCAGATGAATGTGGACAGCAATTTACAAAAATGCTGCTTTCCAGGGAGAGGGATTCTTTACCTTCTTGGAACTAGAGATTTAAAAAAATCAAACTGTTGTGAATCATAATCAAAGAGCAAAATGGGCAAATGGTTAGAAAAGATAAAGTAATTCACAGAAAAGGAGCTCTAAGTGGCCTTTGAAAAGACGCTCCACTTCACCCCTGATAAAACTACAATGAGATACCATTTTCACCTGTCACACAGTGACAATCACAAAGTAGGAACACCCACGGTGCGTGCGAAATGGGCAGTCTGTCTCTGCATTGCTGATGTAAGGCGAATTCAAACAACTGCAAGGAGGCACTTTGGCAAGGGCATCCAAGTTCAGAGCGTCTTTAAACCAGCAATTCCACTTTGGCGAAAGTCTGTCCTCCAATCTACTCTCACACACGTGTCCCAGGCGTCCCATGTGTTCAAGGCCACCGAGCGCAGCCCTGTTTATGTGACCCAACACTGGGCACAACTAAATACCCACCGGCAAGGGACTGCTTACATAAATTATGGCAATCCGTAGCACAGAATGTATGCGACATTTAAAAGGAGAGAGCAGCCTTTTATAGACCACGCAGGAAGGCTCTTTAGGACATCTCGTTTTTTTTTTTTAATTTTGAAAAAATTTTGGTTTTATGAGACAGGGTCTTCATGTGTAGTTCTGGCTGGGCTTGAACTCATTGTGTAGCCCAGCTGACCTCGAACTTGCAGCAATCCTCCTGCCTCAGCTTCCTGAGTACTGAGACTATAGGTGTGCACCACCACACCCAGCAAACACACTTTAAAGTGATTAAAAAATGCAAAACAGTATGCGGGGTGACTGGCATCTGTGTAACTCACCCACAGGCAGGTAGCAGACTGAGTTACACTCTGGGCAAATAGACACTTGAGGTCACATCGGAAATGTTGAATGGTTGGTTGCCTCCTAGAAGAAGCCAGTGGCTGGAGGGGAGAACTGTCATTTTATATCCTTTTGTTGGCCCTTAAATTTTGTGCTATGTGCATGTATTACAAAAAAGAAACAAATTTCTGAAAGAAATTAGAAAAATGAATGACCAGCACCCCAAAATTTTTTTTTTCTTTGGTATTGGGGATTGAACTCAGGACCTTGCTCTTTCGAGGTAGGTGCAGTGCCGCTGTCAGTAATTCAGAAACAAAAAAATGATCTAAAGCAGTAGTTTTAACCACCTCGAGTGACCGTAGAGGAAGGGAGCTTACAGGTCACTTCCTCCAGTCCCCGTTTCTTCAGCAAGGGTCAGTAGCTCTTTTGAGGTGAGCGAGCTGAGCACAGGAAGTCCCGTCCTTCCCTTCCTCGGAGTCCTCCCTGCCTCTCCAGCAGGGCTCGGGTACTCGCTGCCCGCACACCAGAAAAGCTCGCAGAGCCCCTCAGCTCAGACTCGGGCAGGTGGAGAGGGCACTGCTTGTGGAGCATCGAGCCATCTACCGCCCGCTCCCTTCCAGTGCAGCACCCACAGAGGCCCCAGCGGAGCGGCCTCGAGTCCTCACCACCTCGAGCAGGGAGGACAGGGAAGGCAGAGGCCGTTACCCTCTTACCAGCGGACTCCTCTGCCCACACACAAGTGCATCCAGCCTTCCCAACCCATTCCTCTGCATAAATCATTCCTAACTAGAATTATAAACTTGCTTTTATAAAAAATATTAGCCCAGAACAAGAGGACTTTAGAATCTATTTCATAATAACTTTACAAAATCAAAACTTTATGGGTTTATTCATTTTTAATATAGCTAGTAGTCTTAAAAATTAAGTTGTATCACATATAGAGCTGTGGAGGATGCAAAACAAATTAATTTATATGGTATTATTAGGTAGAGATGATTAATAAACATAGAATCTTTCTGTCTTCCTGAACTGTAAGCTGACAAGAAGCCCGGAGTTCCAGCTGCTGCTCACAGCACGCTCTCCTGGGAGGGAAAAGGACTCACCTGGAATACGGTCAGCAGTGCTTGAGGAAAGTTGTCGAAGGTGCTTCGCTTGGTTTGCGTTTCATCGAAATTAAACTTCCCACCAAACAGCTGCATCCCAAGCAAGGAAAAGATGATAATGAAGAGAAAAAGCAAAAGCAACAGTGAAGCGATAGACTTCATGGAGTTTAACAGGGATGCCACCAAGTTGCTGAGAGAAGTCCAGTGCCTACAAAGCCAAGATGAGGGTGTAAGCGGAGTGCCTGTTCAGGGCCGAGCAGAGGCTCACCTAACCTGGCTGGGACTGAGCGCCACCCGCCATGCTACAGCCTGCAGCAGGACGCGCCCCCTCACCTGGTCACTTTGAAGATTCTTAAGAGGCGCACACACCGAAACACGGAAATCCCCAGCGGAGACATGATTTCCAGCTCCACTAAGATGGTCTCGGTAATCCCACCACATACCACGAAGCAGTCAAACCGGTTGAAAAGAGACACGAAATACGCCTGGAGACCCAAGCTGTACATTTTTATCAGCATCTCACAGGTGAACAGGGCCAAGAGGACTTTGTTGGCAATATCTGGAAAGAGAAGGGACGCCCGCCCCCAGGAGCTCAATGTGGGAGACACTTGGGCTCCTCTTTCCTTTCGGCACCTCTCTCCCATCAGCCCCCATGGGAAACTCTCAATGACTTGTCCCTTTCTTTGCCACCGCACGCACGACAGAAATACGGCGTTGATGTGATTCTGGTTCTGGTACTGCTGCTACCTAGATGACCAAATCTGGAGAAGTTACTTGATTTCTCTGGGGCTCAGTTTTACTGATTATAAAATGGGTGCAGGTATCTTATCGAATAATTTCTGGAGATTTCTAGCACTAAAAACCTCGGATTCTGCATTTAGACCATCATATTATATTTTTTTTTCTTTCCAACTCATCCACAAACACATACCCTAAATCCCTGTCTGGTCTGCTTATGGCACCAGGATAGCAGGCACTTACTTATCAATGTCATTTCTAATAGCAAGGAATGATAACAAGCAGGCTCAAGAGGTAGAGGAAATAGATGTAAGAAAAAACTGAGAACAAGAGCTTAAAACTGTCACACCAAGAATGAGCAACTTCCGGGGACAACTTCCCATACCCCATTTCTGAACCTTCAAAGCAGAGAAAGCAAAATGAGCTGAAAATACTGAAGGAGACGATACAGCTTCCAATGGCGGTATGGGAATGATCCTTCCAAGACTCCTCAGTTTTAGGCTGTCTCAGGGTGAGGAGAGTAAGATGCCTGGTATTCACTGATGCTGGTGCACAACACCATACAGCAGAGGCCACAACCCTGCTCCCCAGCTTGTCTGAATTTGGATGACTCCACCATCTTCCAAGTTAGTGCCCACTAGCAATGTTCCATTCTTCATTCCACATCCATCAGATAACACTACAGAGCAGTTTGCAGCAAGGATCTCTAGTTGAGAACAAAAAGAGAACGGCGTACCTTGAATCTGTGTCAACCAGCCGGGCTGATTGTAGTGCTCAGAGGAAATGGTTAACGTGTTGAGAAACACCAGGACAATAACCAGCCAGTAAAATGTGACAGACTTCACAGCAGCCCTACATCTTCTACGATTGAATCGGTTCCAGCGACGCCAGCGTCGGCTGAAAGGTAAGCAAACATTATTCCACAGATGACAGATACAGCATCTGAGAGTCCAATAAACCTTACTGAGGAATAATTGGGCATTCACTCTAGAGGAATGGATTGGGGTGTGGGCTCAGGAAGGACAGATGTGAACAAACAGCACATAAATGAACAGACTCCATAATATAAATTATGCTGGTCTTAACACACAGCTTTTTGAAAGTATAATCTTGACTTGATCATGCTCAGTTTCCTCCCCGTAGCTATAAATAACTCCAGAATCTGTCATATGCAGGTCCTCCAATGGGTTAGAAGATCTAGATACTCATAGAATCTTGTGCGGATGTAAAACTGCACCTGCCACATACGTAGCTCCTGTACCATCGTATGGTACGTGGTCTGCAATGGGACTGGTGTAGAGAGCCACACAGCTTAGTAAACACATCTCTCATAGCATCTCAATCATCATGGAGAACTGACCAAGCAGCAAAGTGTTCCAAAACCATCATTTTCTTTTTAGGGGACCTTCCAATCATTTCTTCTTAAATCTCTGAGGTTCCTCTGAAGCCTGGGAGTTGTCAAAGCTGAGTAGGACATGAGTCTTTAGACTGAGTCATCAGGTGCCCTTTCTAACTAGGAATGCTCAAAATATACCTTTAGGAGAAGAACCAATATTGAATCATGTTTTCATAACAATAAAATGAGCTGAGCCAAACAGACAAGTAGTATGTCCTCCACCCACCTTCCGTACCTGTTTGTCATTAGGGAGAATATTCCCGCCCATGGCCTCTACATGGAAAACCTTCCCTGCCACAGGGAAGGGTTTGATGAAGTGTGCCATGAACTACTGCTCAGCAACATGGATCCCAGGGAGAAGCCAGCTTCCCTGGGTCATGTTGCCTCAGGGACAGGAATGAGGCACTTTCTCTAGGGGCCCGACTCAAGAGGACTCACCAGGCTGTCCAGCTGTGCCCTTCCAGCCCTGGCTGACTCAGCTATGTTGCTATGCTTAAAAAAACAAAAAACTAAAAGCCCAGGAAGTATGCAAAGAAAGAGTTGTGCCACCTCCTTACTAAGACCTGGATCAAGCAAGGTATGTTTTATTATTGTTCTTGCTGTGCAGTTTCTAATTAAAGAGCAGCAGAAACATAATGACCAGCGTGAAAAACTATGAAGGACACTAAGATTCCACCAGCTCACAGCTCGGGTTCTCCTGGGAGGCATAATTCAGTACACATAGTGATCTAGCCTGAAAAGAGCCAGCCATGGCTACAGCACAGTCTATCCTATGCTCTAGTGAGGAGGCACGAGCATCTCTTACATCCAGGGGACCTCCACGTCCTTTCTCCTAGAAACACACAGCATCGTCATCTTGCCCCTTGCTGGGTTCCGAGTGCCCAACTAGTCAGGCCTGTTTTCTCAGGAGACCAGTGTTTCAGGGCTCTATGTGCCAGTCCTGCACAGAGGGAAATGAAGAAAGCACAGTCCCACTGTCTCTGCCACTGAAAAGCATACAGGGTTGTAGTAAAAGACAATTACCAATCCATACCAAGTGCTAGTCCAAGGTGCAGGGTGTAGGACCCCGAAGGAAGGCACAAATGCTCTCTGAAGAGTCAGGGAAGGCTTCTCAAAAGCAGAGATTTGGACTAGATGAATAAGAGTTAGCCCAGAGGTAAGTGGAAGGACAATCCATCTAGAGGAGACTATGTAGCCCGAAGCGCTGAAGTTAAGGGGAGGACAGAGGGATAGCACCTAGGGAACCAAGAACAGTCCACCATAGCTGCGAAGTAGGAGCACTGGAAGCGGGCCAAAAGTTGAGCAGAGGGTGATCCAGGGGCCAGATTATGAAGGCATTTCCATCCTCTCTGGTAACAGTGAAGCACAGAAGAGCTTTTAAATTTTTAAAAGTCAGGTTTGAATGTAATTCACATATAGTAAAATGTACTCTTTTTGGGTATACGCAGTCAAGAACATTTCCATTACTCAAAAAAGTTCCTTCATAGCCCTTGGTAATCAGTCTCCCATCTCACCCCAGCCCCACGGCCACTGATCCATTTTTTGTGTCATCCAGAATGTCACAAAACAGAACCATATAATATGTAGCCTTTTGAGACAGGCTTCTTTCGCTTATCGAAAGTACTTTTGAAATTCATCGGTGCTCTACCCGCATCAGTTCTACCTGTTGTTAGTAGCAGTCCCTCATGTGGATAAACTAACTTGTCTACCCATCTACCACATGGATTATCTCTAGTGTGGAGCAATTATAAATAAAACTGTTATAAACATTCTTGTAAAAATGTTTAAGTAGGCATATATCTTCATTTCTCATATAAATACCTTAATAAAAGTGGGATTGCTAGGCCATATGGTAAGTGTATGTTCAAACTTTTAAAGAAACTACTTAACCATTAAAAAAAAAGATAGACTTAACATGACCACCAACATTGCATGAAAATACCCATTGATCAGCATCAGGACAGAACTTGGCATTGTCAAGTATTTAAATTTGATCCACACTTACAATCATGTAGTGGTATCTGTGATTTTATTATTTGTATCTTCCTAGTGACTGATTGCAATTTCATGTGCTTATTTACCATTCATATCTTTTCTTTGGTGACATGCTTGTTAAACCTACTGTTGCCTTTTTAATTGGATTGTTTTCTTATTATTGACACTGTTTTTATACATTATTCCTTATATATTATGGATACCAGTCCTTTATCTAATGTGGTTTGCAAATATTTTTATCTAAGCCTGCACCTTATCTTTTTATTTCATAATAAATGCAAAAGTTTTAATTTGGGGGCAGGGGATTTAGCTCAGTGGTTTCGCCGCCTGCTGCACAAGCGCAAGGACCCAAGTTCGAACCCCAGCACCAAAAAAAAAAAAAAAAAAAAACCAAACAAAAGTTTTAATTTTGATAAGAACCAACATGTCACATTTTTCTGTTACGATTCATGGACTGAGAGCTATATTTTCAGAAACATTTGCCTAATCCAAGGTCATAGAGATTTTCTTCTAGAATTTTTATAGTTTTACGTTTAATATTTAGTTCAAAGTCCATTGTATATAGCAGGACGATGATTTTAATTAAGAATAACATTTATATGGAAAAGTGCACAAATCATAAACATACAGTTCAATTAGCTTTACCAAATGAATACACAACCTGCTCTCAGATCAAGAAAGTATTACCAATACTTTAGAAAGTGTCTTGAACTCTCTTCTTTGAAAAGATTTTTCTTTGTTGATTTTTGTATTTTGCAGTGCCGCCAAAAAATGACAAGAATCAAGAAGTATCTGTCCTAGAAAAGTGACTGAAGGATTAATTGAGAGGCAAAAAATTGTTCATCGTGGTGTCCTGTTGATTTGTAGGAGTTGGTCCTACTATCTGCTCCCCTAAGGCAGGTTTGAAATGTTTAATGGACTCACCAAAACTCAGTGTCGATCTTGTAAGCCGTGGAGTAAAACCCAAGTTGGAGCAATTCTTATATAACAGTAAGAATTTAAAACATAAAACTGTAACTTACAAAACAGACATATGCTAAAGAAAAAGCAGAAGATACTGACCTGAGTTTGGATTTTGAGATGGCTTGACTGAAAGAAAAGAAAAAAGGATTAAGATTCCCACTGGGAAGCTTGGGCACATGCTCCCGACGGTTTCCGCAGCAACGTGGTAAAAGCCATGCATGGAAGCCTGGACGCGCCATGGGCAGTGGCTGCAGCGGGCCAGCTGGGCTGAAGGCAGAGCAGAAGTCAGGGTGCCGCCAGGGCCGGCCAGGCAGGCTCAGCACCATCAAGGCCCTGGGCAAGAGAAGACTTGGCTGGATTCCCTCAGCAGCCCCGGAAACAGGCACTGCTGCCAGGGGTTCCTCTCTTGCCACCCCAGACGGAAGCCAGCAGGTCTCTCGGGCCTGTAGCTCAGCCACTCATCTCAACAGCAGCAACCAGTGCTGCTGCTGGCCAAGGAGCAGTGGACCAGAGGTCCTAGCTGTGCTATTCACGCACAAACCGGGTATGAAGAAGCAGCATGCTTTTTTGAGCCTTAGTGTTCTCATCTGTAAAGTGGGGAAGATAAACCCATTCCCTGCCAACTCTATCATGTTGTAGGGAGGGCAGAACAGGAGAACAGAGCCTAAGTCATTTCATCAGCTTTGCACACTCTGCCATTACACATCATTTTTATGAAACTCTGCCAAGAATAAGATAAAGTTCTCTAGAAAACTATGCCTGTACTTTATGGACAGAGGATCTAAAGAATATGAGCAGAAAGCCAACAAAACAAAAGAGCACAGGGCTCCCCAAAGCCACATTCTGTACTGCTGCTCCCCCACTGCTGCAGCCAGAATCGTCCAGAAAAGAGCCCAGGTGTTAATGGGAAGGCATCCTCCGGGGTGGGGGCGGGGAGGGGGGTCGGTGCAGGGCCTACAGGAGGTCGGTGAGCAGAGGAGGGAAGGGCCTCCTGCTCCTTAACTGTGTGCGCATTCTAGTCAGCAACTCTGCCATTCAAGCTCTTTCTCCAAAGCACAGCCGCCAAACCCAACTGGAAGGAGAATTCAGCCTTTACCCCCACCGCCGACACCCAGAGGGCCCCGTCTTGGCCGTGCCTCTTCTTCTCCACCAGCACCTAATGAACACAGCAGCTCGCTGGGTTAACCGGCACACTTCCGGGCTCCACCTCCTACCTCGTAGGAAGAGGCCTGTGAAACCCGGTGCCTTGCACAGGAGGAAGGGTGGCGAGGGGTGGGAGGAGCCCACGCGCCCTTCTGCACCTAAGGCCGTGGCCCAGGGGGCACCACTGCGATCTGGGGTGTCCTCTTGCCAGGAGCTCCTCTAAGATGACCTGGGGGTTAAGGAGAGCAGTGGCTCCACACTCACCAGAGACGTCTGCAGCAGCCCTTGGTCTCGCCTTCGCCACTCACGTTCTCTGTGTTCACAGATTCAGTCTCGCTGGTGGGCATGCTAGCTGTGGGGAGAAGCAAAGGGTTCAGACAGCACGCTAAGGTCCTGCGCCACTGGGAGCAGGCGGGAACTGGGGTGAGGGCCTCGGCCACAGGCCGAGCTGAGGTGTCAGCTGTGGCCACCGCAGGCAGGCCTTTGCTTCTACCAACTGCCAGGAAAGCCCAGCGCCCGCTCCAGCAGGGAATCCTGTTGGTCCAGATGCTTCCCAAGGAAAGAAGCCTGCAGGCCAGACTAGAGCCCATCACTGGGCCTGACACAGGCTTGCTCTCCTGATCGCCATCTCACACTGAGAAGTCATCCAAACACCTCAGTCACAGGGACATCTTCATCGGCCCAAACAGGAGCAGCACAGAGCATCTGTGATGAAATCTAACACCTCATAAATACATGATTTTCGACATACTGCAGAAGAGCTGTTAGGATGCGGAAGGCAGTGTATGACAGCACCGTGCACATGGTCCTTCTCTAAAAATTAGAAGCTCTCCTTATTCTTGGCTAATTGGTCTGATGCCTAAGCTCCACTGAGGTTGTGAAGCCAGTATGGAAGTTCTTTCCAAATAAGCTGGTACCAAGGCATAGGCAATAGAGCTTTAGGGACAGAAGAATGGGAGGGGCTTTGCCAACCAGTGAGCAGAGGGTAGGGCTGCCTGTGGTCCTAGTGTCCCTGAGACCTCTGGGCCCTATAAGTCTTCTTTCTCCATAGCAAAATCCTGAGCAGAACTGGCAGAAACATGGAAATGAGTTCACCATTGCTGGAGGTCCAGGGACTGCCCCTCCCAACCACTCTCTGGTACACTGGGGTCTTTCCTCCTCCACTTGACTTGACTCTAGAGACATGGTGAACACATGCTGGAACCCAGGCAGTGAGGGAAGTGTGGAGACACAGAGCAGAACACAGTACTGCACCCACCCGGGGGAAAGGCAGAGGGAGGGAGGCAACCCTCCAACAGATTTCCATTCACTGTGGAAAGAGCTGCCTCAGGGGTCTGTGCAAGAACTGCGGGTAAGGAATGACTGCTTCTGCTCTGGGATGAGGGAGCAGATTGCTGAAGAGCCAGATGTGGGAGAGCGCCCAGGTGCATGCGCCATTTTTCCTCCAGGTGCATTTGGAACTGTGGTGACAGTTTTTACAGACCCCACAGTGTCCACAGAAAAGCCTTCCTCGGTGGGCAGGTGGCTCCTCTTAGCAAGGGTGCCTCAAGCTTCATTTGCAAAAAGTGGCAGGGGTGCCTGAAGAGCTCTGGTGGACATTCTGAGGCCCAGACCCAGGCTGGGAGGGGAAGAGCTAGGACAGTTCCGTCTAGGTGGCTGCCTGATGGCTGACCACACCCAGGTGAGTGACAGCCGTGACAGAGTTAACAAGGACAGCAGGACCTGATGCAAAGCCCCAGAAGTCTGTGGAGCAAGTCTTCAGATGGTCCGAAGGAGACCCAGGGGTGCCCTGCGTTGGAACCTTATCAGCGCTGTCCAAGACTTTTACACACAGGTTTCAGAAGCAAAGGCCAAACAGCGAAATTATAGACTCACGTTACACTCCCGGTACTTGCATAGCATAAGCATTTTCTTTCTTCCTCAGGTTGAAAGAAACTGACTACAAACCTGGATTCACTTTTTCACTACTCCAAAAATAAATAGGAAAAAAACAATCAAAGAAGCTCACCATCCCATTGTGGAAAATCCTTTAACAAAAAAAACTTCATTAAGGCAGACAGATAGACACCACACACACACACACACACACACACACACACACTACCCTACACACCCTTTCTCCAGGGCAGGGCTGCTGACCAAGGGCACCAGAGGGGAGGGCAGCATACCACATCAGGAAGCCAGGGCCCTGGTCCTGCCTATCTCTCCCCAGACTTCACTTTCCTGTTTATAAATTGGCTGTGCTCGTTCCACAATCTTGACAATCATTTCCATCTCTAACTGTTAAACAGTTCATGATCTAATATTCATCACACAGGAAAATTACTCACATGTACCAAAGAGTGAACGTTGGGACAGACCAAATCTTTGTGGTCTTTTTACACTTCGGGGCTGCGGTTTACACTGATATTAGTACGGTTGTTGCATTTTATTTCTTAAACCTTCATTTTTCAAAGTGACCTGATTGAAACAGATAAATTACATCCTGCCTGTGGGAAGGAGGAAGGGATATGCCACTTTGCATTTCCGGCTCTGTGCCAATTATTAGCGACTGAAATGTACTGGCTGTTCTTCAGAGTATGTAGGGAACGGTAAGAAATAAACCCAACTCCCCAGAGGCAAAGAGAGGTCGAGAACTTTCTGGCCCCAAGTCTGGGCAGCACTAAAGGTAAGGTGGGTCCTCCCGCTGCTTTCCCAACTGTGTCCTTGGATGCCTGAGAGCAGACTCCCGGTGAGGTCAGATCTAAATTTGACCCCATTTCCCCACTGCTCAAATGGGCGGAACCTATCTCTTGGGTTGCAGGCAGAACTCAAGGGGTGGGGGGAGGCAACAGAAGCTGGGTCCTCAGCAGTGTGCAATCGACGAGGCTCACAAATGAAGGACTCCGACGGTCACCCCGGGAAGGCTCTCCTAAGGCTCCCTCCAGCTGGGCGACCCTGTCGAGCGAGGGTCACGTCACTGTGACCACTGCTATCATTGTGCTAAAGTTTCCAGGGTGAATACTCTTCCATCTCAATCAGCTTTGGCCACCACTCTCGGTTTGCCTCTTTTCGGTCTTAAACAGAGCCGCTGCCTAGTTCAGCCTGTAGTAGAGAAAGTAGTTCTCCTGTGACAATCACTTGACACCTGCAGGGTCACTGACACCTAATAAATAAGCCTATTCCAGAATGATGTCACCAGAGCTCCAGAGGAGAGTAGAAGGGGAAAGGTGAGGACAGTGTGCTAGAACTGGGCCACCTCTTTTGGCTCTGGAAACAGACCTTGACTTAGTCCTTTTCTCTGAGCAGAGGAGCTTTGCTCAGACAAGGCCCTGGAAGCCTTAGGATCCGCTCCAGCCTCTGAATCCCTAACAAAAGACAGGTGGAAGGCAATTCCTTTTCCAAAGCACTGAAGAAATTAGGGCCAGTAGTTAGAACCAAAGACCTTGTTTGTACATTAAAACATTTTACCTTTCACTTGTACTGGGAATTCATTTTTTTTTAACATTAATAAAGTGATATGAGTTTCGCTTCACTTAGCCCCAAAAGGACCCTAGCCGCATTTTTAAAAATCAGGAGTGAGAAATCGTCTACTGTTAGTGGTACAAGGGGCTTGTGTGGATACATGACCAAAGTCCAATGTTTCACAGATGAGAGAACTGACCGACTCACCTTGGGGGACACAGCTCAGACACGAGAAAGCTCTCCCACGTTCCTCTCAGTGTCCCTTCCACCATGCTGTGCATCCCCAAGGTTTGGAATATTCTGAAATATACTGGTATATATTTCAGTGTTGGTGTATGCACTGATATGTACTTAAAATTTCACAAACCAAAAATTTCCAAAGCCAAGCAAGTCTACTGCTCATCAGCACCGGGTTTTGATTAGCCCCAGATACATGGAAAATACGCAGATCATATCCAAGAGGTCTACGGGCAGCACAAAGATCAACCTGTACTGGTGACTACTGGGAATTTATAAAAATGAAAACAAAGTTACAAAACTCTATGAAAGTAACCCCAGAGGCAAGTTTCTAGAACAAACATCCCTCCCCTGACTGACCGCCCCACGCAGGGTGACTGCCCTGTCCCCTCCAGCAGTCACTCAGTGTTGATGGCTGACAAGCGTCTAGACCCCAGTAAGGTGCAGGAAGACTCCCTCCCTATTCACGTCCCCTGTAGGTGCTCATCCCTCCTGCAGAAATGCACCAGGGCCATCTGAATGGGGAGAGGCTTTAAGCCCTTTGCCTTACATACTCTAGAGAACTTTAGAGCTTTGTTGTGGAAGTTTCTTTCTGTAAATTAAAAACAAAACTATTTTCAGTGAGTCTGGGTGGAACTAGGCATCAGGACAAGCCTGTCATCTACAATGAATGCCGACTTACACTGCCAGTGTACCCAGTAAGCTCTGGGAGGGCTCAGGGCCTGTGCTTTGCAATCTATTCGGGCTCCGGGATTTTGGGGAATGCTCCAGGACAGACCCCTTGCTTAGCATGAGGGGTACAGAGAAGGGCGCCGGGGCTGCTGTGTGGAGAAGACGGTGCCTGACAGCAGCTGGCACCGTGCACTGTAGACAAGCTCCCAAGGCTCTGCGGCACAGGCACTGGGGCTATGGGCCCCGTGTTTCTCTGTAAGGCTGTTTACTGGGCCTGGATGCCACTGTGGGTGATGCTACACAAAACGAACTGGAAAGAAAAATACACTGTTTCTCACACCAACATAACAACTAGAATTTTCACCAATGTGTAGAGACTTGTCTACCTACTGTCACTCCAAAGGACAGTGGAATTTTCAACTAATCCTGCCTGGCTTGTGAATTCAGAAGCAAGTCAACATACGCGCGCGTGCATGCAAATGCACATGCACACAGGAAGAGAACAAATGAGGATGAGAGAACAACTCTAGGTTCAGGTCTAAGCAGGTGGCCTCAAAACAACTGTCCACCATTCACAGCCATGTCAAATCCCCAGAGCAACTTCCTTAAATGGTGGAGGCTAATGAGGTCCGAGACTCTTGAAGAAATACCAGAAAAGCTTGGTGTGTGGCATCAGATGATACAGGAACAAGTGCCTCTTTCTGCTCGTACTTAGCTACCTAATCTGTAAAATGAGGTGTAGGACTATATCATCTCTAAGAACCACCTACCTCTGACCTGCTATGACTACAAGAAAGCAGAAACACCCATGAGCTTTCCGGTTTTACTCAGCATCTAGGGGATTTGCCCTGCATTCTCTGAGCTCTCCCAGGCGACAAGGGATCAGAAGTACCCTCAGGAAAGTGGCCAGGACTCGACCTGTCCAGAATTGACTCCAAGGCCCCAGCTCCCAAGGGTCTTGGCAGCTCCAGGAGACGCTGGGCCATCTAGTCATGGAAA